CAAATAATGTGTGCAGGGAGGGGGTTGGAGAGGCTGGATGTGTCCCTGTGTAGTGAGTGGCTTCCCTTAAGAGGACTCGGGCTTCAAGTGTTACCTTGCTTCCCATCTGTCCCCACCAATTCCTTACAAACCTGATCTAAAACAACCCAGTTAAAAGGAAAAAAAAAAAAAAAAAAAGTAGAACAGACCAGCACAAGCATGCAGAAAGCAATTGCTTAACTTACAGGGAGGTAGGCAGGTTACAGCATTTTCAAAAATACTGCTTTTTTGAGAAAGCGCTTCAAGGACCAGCTGGCTCACTTGCTGCATTCAGGTCTGAGCTGCCTTAAGGAATTCATTTAAAAGTCTGATATTAAACCAAACTGTATTCTGCCTCTCCAGAAACTTTCCCATGGCACATGGAGTGCTGAGGAGACTCACGGCGCATTATCCAGACTGCTTTGGCCTCTTATCAAAGCAGTGCAGAGAGCAGAAATTCTCTTTTTAATCAGCTGAAGGAGTTAAAAGCTGGGTGAAATAGCCGAATGGCACAGTTACACTGGAGACAAATGCAGCTGTGAAAAGACTGTGTTAAGAAACAGGATGGTTGTGGTCTGCTGTAAGAAATAATTTTCCTGTTGACTATTTTTTTAAACAGGAAGCTGAAGAACAAAGCAGCATTAGTCTTGGTGCTTTTAATAGGCTTCAGATTTCAAATTTTGCATTTAGGATAAGCAGATCGGGAAAGGACAGGGCTTTGTGCAGAGTTTTGTGTAATGACTGAGAGCTAGAAATATGGAAGACAGGAATATAACTGGATTCTTGCAGATCCTCTGAATGTGAAGCTGGTGCTTCTCTGGAGATGCTGTAAGATGCACAGTAACACACCAGAGGACTGATAAGAGCACGCCGGTCCATTTGCAGGACTTTACGAATGCATGCGTTTGCAGAGCGCTGCATAGGCTTGGCTTCACACAGTTTCCTCTTTGTCAGTCAGTCTGTCCGGCCGCCAGCTTCCCCTCTGCTCCACTTGCTCTTTTGCAGTAACCGGAAAGAGAAACAGCTTCTGCAGTACAGGAGGAGAAAAGCTGCAATCACCAGAGACAGTGCCTCATGCCACTTTGAACTCCATGTTTTTTTCTAGATAGTCAGCCAGAGCTAGGGGTGATGTGTCCGACTCCTTTCCAAGCACTTTCCTCCCTAAACATTTTAGACAAAATCCATTAAAGGTGTATTTCAGGAAAGCTTTCTTCTGAGGAAGATAGCTCAGCAATTTTTTGTGTGGGTTTGTGTGGATTTATAGCTGTATTCTAGTTCTTTTGAAGCATGAGCATCTGACGAGATAAATCGGTACTTCTAACCCTTTTTTTCTCACACACATATCATGGATCATCTCAGAGCCATTACAGCCTTTGTAGGTGGTGACTCACCTCAAACCCTCACTGCAAATGCCATTTTGTTCCATTCAGAACATTTTCCTAACGCTCATTTAAACTGTAAAGGGTACTGTACTGAAGTTAATTTGGCAGATACTGTGCTATTACAGTTCTCCTTGGTTTTATAAAAAACAATTAAGTGACTTTGGAAAGTAAGAGCTGTGTATTCTTGTAAAGAACTGCCCGGGGGACCTCAGCTGTCAGCCTGGGGTTGTCTGGAGAATAACCCTTATTCCTGTTCCCACTGTGTTTACCTGTCTTGTGCAAACATTCTATAAATGGTGGCAAATCCCTGGCACTAAAGCTGGCTCAGGTGAATGGGCAAGAGCAAAGCACACGCTGAAATGCCATAGCACTATTAGAAAAGCCCTGGAGCCCCCGATAGGCACAGTTCCAGCAAGCAATGTGCCAAAATGCCCCAAAAAGCCCTTGTGACTTGAAAAAAAAAATTCTTTGATGCTTGTCCCTTCTTTTTTTTTTTTTTTTTTTTCCCTTTAATTTTTTCATTGCATTGAAGTTCTGCATCTCGGGCGTGACCCTCCTAGGATTGCCCTAGGTTGGAAGTTCTGCTTGGGGTGGGGAAAAGAGGGAGCCTGGTCTCCGGCAGGGAAGCTCAAGGAAGGCTGAGCTCTGGCAGCCAGGCTTTTCCCTCTGCAGCAGCCTGTGGCTGAGAGGCCGGGCTGCCTGCTTGCTCTTCTTCCTCTGGGAAAGTGCACAGAGCATGACTCTGTGCGCTGCTTTCGAGGAGGAGGAGGAAGGTGAATTCAGAGGTGATGATGGATCTTGGAGTCTTCAGAGCAAGCAGGGAGAAAGGAAGAAGCATGAGTTTTTCCTAGAGCTCTGCTGTTCCGCCCTACCCATAGCAGCGGGGGATCTTCCAGCAATTTAAGGGCTTTAAAAGGCCAGCATCTCTTTCACAGTATGATCTTAAAGAGAAGATACCTTCTTGAAGTAAGGGTTGATGGTATAGCTATGGGATTATTGTGAAGTACTTCCACAGGAACAAGATTGTTGGATTAAACAGAGTTCAATTTTGGTTTGTGCATCGCCATAGCAATGCACAGGAAGTGTATGTGTGCAAAACTGGATATGTATGTCTGTGAGTTTGGATGGCAATGGGGATCATGTAGGGAGCCCCCATTTAAGGATGCAGCTGGTTTCCATACAATGAAACAAAAAGTGATTTTTACAGATTATTTAGACTTAGAAAATGTAGCAGATAAACCTGTTAGCTGCAAGGATGTTTTTTGGCTAAGTAGAAATGTATTTATTAAGATTTATTAATCTCTGGGCCTTGTGTGTTTCTGTGTTTTGCTGTGCAGGTTTCTTAGCAAGACCAGACGGAGTTCAGCCTTCCACCATGCCTGTGCCTCCCCCTCCAGCTCCCCCTCCGCCCCCAACACTGGCCTTGGTGAGTTTTACAGTAGATAAGTGTACCATATACACTGTCCTCTGTTGCTGCTTGTCATATTGAATAGGATGTCCAGAGGCATTGAGCTGTGGACAAGGGTATGCATGATATTTGGGGAAAGCTCTCCAAAAATTTGTTCACGGTTGATGATTGATCCTACAAGAGGGACTGTCACTTCCACTCCCTTCCAGTGCCCATATGGACGTCACTAGCCATGTTGACTCTCCATCCTCCTCTTCTTCCCACGCTGGTGGTTTGATCTGGTGTAGGGATCCTGGGTGGAGAGGCACAGCTCCTCAACAGCTAGTCTAAGTCAGGGGAATTGAAGTCTTGCTCTCCCCTTGCTTTTCTCCAGCCAGGTACTCCCACCTTCTCCCTTGTTCTACTCTAGTACTTACATGACCCAAGCCAGAAAAAATCAATCCTATTGTTTAAGTTTGGTGAGGATAGTTCTTAGCCAGCGTAGCACTCTCAGACAGCCTGTGGTATCACAGCACAATATCCACTGCTGGCCCAGCATGGTGGGTGAGACAACATCGGACCTGACTTAAGTCAGCCTAAGCTGGAATAGAGCTTGTGCTGTGTTGGCCCTCCGACAGTCAGTCACCTCACTGACAAGAAAGAAGTCTTCTTGAAATGCTGTTGTGAAGTACTCTGGCATTCTCATAGAAAAACCCTAGCTTGTTACACAGGTAGGTTGGGCTGTGCTGCTGAAGAGTCTTTCCCTCATTTTCCACCACAAGCAAGATGTGGATTCTGTGCTTGGTCCCTCCATGGCAACTCTCACCACCTTTCAGGAAATTTCTATAACACTGATCTGATAAGTTAGAAAGCTTTTCCGGAACCACCTTTTCCTAGAAGTAATTACCATGTATACATGCATATGTATGTGTGTGCATATATGTGTATTTTAGGATGGTTTTTTTGTTCTTCCTTGGAAAACTGTGTCACCAAAAGATAAACTGAAAAGAGAGGACCACTGAGACAAACCTCATGCATCTAAAGGTTTCATTGGGTCTATTTGAAGAGGTTGATATTGTTGAAGTGGTGATTGACATTTTAAAGTATTTCTATCAAAACTAAAGTATTAGATAAAGCTCCATATTTCTTCTGATTTATCCAGAATTTGTATATGAGAAGTTTTCACTACAACTGTCAAGAATGTCTGCCTTTTTTTGTAATCAAATTATGTGTGTAGTCTGTTCTTGTTCAGTCTCCAAGATGGCAATTTGCCACAGATGTGCCTTGGCTTTAAAAAAATCGGAGACCCTAAATCTTGAGTTAAAAAGATGTGAATTCACATAAAAGTGTTCTGTTTCCAGTGAATAGTGTGGGTTAGAATAGCAGCAGTGTTTGGAGCCTCGAGTCAGTAACAAGGCCGGCTACTTGTAACATCATTCACAAAACCAGACGTGGCATGCTACCCACTCCAGTGCTTTAAAACAGAAATTGAGGTCTCAAGTAACTACCATATTTGAGCAGAACTTTGTAGCTAGAAGTCGAGGTTTATTTTGTCTCCTCATTTTAAATTTTATTTTGCAGGCAAATACTGAAAAGCCGTCCCTAAGCAGGTCAGAACAAGCAGGGCGAAATGCTTTATTATCTGACATTACCAAAGGAAAAAAGCTAAAGAAGACTGTTACTAATGACAGAAGTGCACCGATTCTAGACAGTAAGTATGATTCTGCATGTTGGAGTTCCTGTATGCATGAATGGTTCTATATATCTGAGTGCAGAAAATCATTTTATATATCATCAGATGAACTTCCATGAGAGAAACAGGTAAAATAAAATGCCAGAAGTTGGCATGCATAAAAATAAATTCTGTTCATCATGGATTAAGTCAGCTGAGAAATCAAGTACTGCTTATGAAATACGAGTGTTAATTTGTTTTCTTACTCTCATAAAGCAGTTCATTTTCTCATTTGCTGAAATCAGAAAACTATGCAAACGCTACTAGGAGCTCTGCTGAGGAGCTGCAGCAGATCAGGCAAACAAAACCCCCATCAGGACTGAGGAGAGCACAGAGAATAAAATGGAATTTCAGACTCTACTTTTGCATAAACAGTATAAAAATAAAGGCACCCCTGGTACGACTCCATTGGCTTGCTAATGGCCCCAGTACCACTTAAAGCAAAACCAGACCCAGGAGCCCCAGCCCCACCTGGGTGTCACTCTGCAGCACACAGTTTTGCCACTCCTGGAGTGACTCAGAGGTGTTATCTTTTTGGCTGAGCCTTGTTGCTCAGCCTGCCTGGCAGTGCTCTGGCACAAGGCAGCAGCTTCACTTACCCGAATGGAGACAAGGTCTCCATCCAGCTGTGCCGCTGCTGTGTCTCACTTTGCATCTCGGCAGGTGCTGAGAGGAGGCTGGAAAAGCCTGTGTAGCAAAAGTATTGGGAAGACAGAACAGAAACAGGAGAAGAGCAAAGAACTGCTACATCAGAGGAACAGTGTTTTATTGCCTAGGGAGAGGAGACATTTCTACAGACTGATTAGGAAATGTGATACAGCTCAGTCCAGGTCTGGCCATGCAATCAAAGATTGGACTGTGATAGGGAGATGATGAGGAAAGAAGGAAATGCCCAAAGGAGTGCAGCCAAATAGGAATAATAGAAAAAATAGATACAGTCCTGCAGTCAGCCAGGTACTTAGTTTTTAAACACTTCAGTATTATCTCTGAAAGCAAAGTTCTAGTTACTGTAATAAGCTGGAGAAACTCATTAAGGGGATTAAAGGGGGGGTAAACGGTGAGATTAAAATGATGCGGCCTATTATCTTGTTTACATGAATTAACAAATCATGATGAAAGACTAAACCATAGTAGCAGCGTTTCTCTAGAGCTTCACACCCTATGTGAGTCAGAGCTGAACTGAGCTAACATGCTTAAGAAAAGAGAAGGATGATGTGAAACATTCCCCCATGAACACATTCTTCCTCGTTTTTTCTGGGTGGGATTATTAGAAGTGCTTTTCATCCACAGGTTTTGATTACTTCAAAGTTAGTGAAATTTTTACCCACCCAAAGTCATGAAAATCGAGATGCCAAGAAATTAAGCAATTGATCCTCAGCCATGTAGCCCATCATCTGAGAGCTGATCTCCCCTGTGGGCCTGCTCATTTTGCAGTGATGCTCTGAATAGGGCTCTTCCCTGTATTTGTAGTTGTGGAAACACTTTCATTTTACTTTTAGCATCTCAGTGTTGTCACCGCAGAAATATTGACATTAGAGTGAAATGGGAGAGGAAGGAGGGGGCTGATAAAATAATTCCTGCCTATTGGAAAAATTAGCAGCTAATGATCCTGTCATTGCATTTCTGGACCTACAGGAAAGTAATCGGAAATGAAATGTCTTTCCCCACTAGGCTTTGTTTAAATAAGTAGATAAGTTGCGATGTCATCAATAGTGACAGAGTTCTGTGCGTTCCCAGAAGTAATCACCAGAGACACCTCCAAGAGGAAGGATACCTCTATCTTCCTTCTTCCTTCCTCATTTCCTGTGAGATTGCCCTGTCTCTCGGTTTGCTTGTGGAGAAGCGGAGGGGAAGGATAAGAGACCAAAGGTATGAAGAAATGGGAAGCAGCTACAAAGATGCTAACAATGACAGCATGATATTATCAGAGGTCCCATCTATGCTCAGTTCCAAATTCTCCATAGTGACTGTTTCTCTGCTTTCCAGTCCAGAGCAGACTAAAGGAAAGTGATGGGTTAATAAAACACAGTGACTATATTCGTTGCACCACCTCTTCCATGGTGATGGTAGCTGTGATCATCCAACCTGAACGAGAACACGTGTGTTTTGAAAGCTTGTGCATTTTTCCCCAGATACAAGCATTGCTCTAATAAAAGAGACTACTTTGTGGGATCAGTCTTGCTTCTCTGCCTAATGTGGAGGACTTTTTTTTCCCAACAGAACCCAAAGGACCTGGTGGAGGTGGCGGCGGTGGCTTTGGAGGAGGTGGCGGTGGCAGCAGTGGGGGTTTTGGTGGTGGTGGTGGTGGCAGCGGCTTCGGTGGTGGTGGACCACCTGGCCTTGGAGGCCTTTTTCAAGCTGGAATGCCAAAGCTCAGATCTGCTGCGAGTCGAGATGCCGGTAAGAAAGACCTTGCAGTTCCAGTGTGGAAAAAGTAAATGACATTGCCTGAAACCTTCATAGCACTGCAATAAATCTCCTGCTGGGATTTAAAAAGTCTTTAAATATCTTTGGCTCTTAGGAAATGTAATTTTCAGCTTGAATCTTGTTTTATTCTTAATACTAGGTTTTATGAGGGAGAAGCGAGACTCCTCTTTCTACCCATCCTCCTAGTTATTGATGAAAACTAAAGATCTCAGCAGTGTTGCATTGCTACCTGCAAAGTACAGTCAGGCAGACTAAGTCCTGCCTTAGCAGTGGGTGTGCAGGACAAGAGGGGAGCATAAGAGGATTCCAGGTTAATTCTCCCTTGTGCACCAGGAAAAAGGATGTACTTTCCAAATGGAAAGTACATCTGCGTCAGCTCCACAACAGCGTGATTTACCACTTCGGGAGTGCATGAGGCATCCCAGCTGGCTGGTAGGCACATTGCATTTGGAGGCTTGTCTGGGGCATGCACTGTATTCTTCTGGCTGGCAAAACAGCTGCCTGAAGCCTTGTGTCCCTTGAAACAAAGGAGATTTGGGGCTAGTGAGTTTTGAAAGGTTAAGGACGTGGGATTTCACGCTTGCCGAAGGAGGACTGGGCAGTGGGGGTTCTAGGATATTATGAACCTTACATATTTTATAGACTAACGTAATTTTTCAGCACATGTGTACAAAACAGTTTCTCAGAGCTGGTATTTTCTATTGTGTCACATTCTATTTTGGGAATGTGTATTAATACAAAAGTTCCTGGCATCACAGAGCAGCACTTCTTCAACTGCAAGGCTGGCTGCCTTCTTCCTGACGTGCACAACTACATCCTTAGATAACAGCTACTAGAATGGGCTGAAAAGAGCCTTTTGCCTGACTGTTGTTGTTAAATATCATTTAAAAGCTGAGATTTCTTTGCTTTCAGGTTGATGGTACCGAATAATTGTTCTTCACCACTTCTTCCCTCCCTGTGTGTGTGCTGTGTGATGGCTGCATCCGTTGTGTTACCTCGCAGCTGCTTTGGTCTCTCACAAGTGGTCCTCCCTCATAAGCGCTATCAGGATGTAACCCACTACTCTGGAGCGGTTCCCCAGTGCTACCAAGACTGGCGCTGGGTGCCAGGTTCTGGGGTTTGTGCGCCCCGTACCAGGGCTGACCCCCCTTGCTGTCTGCAGTGCCTCAGGACGCAGCCCGTGAGCTCTCCTGTCCGACGGGACGCTGATGCCCTCTCCTCTGTCCCCAAATGCCGGGGGACCGCGCCCGCCCGCCCTG